TCGCAGGAGTTGAGCCATTGAAAGAAGATTAAAGCCAAGTCCGTCGATGATCAAGACATTCGTAACGTGTAAGGAAAATCTCGTGTCCACTGAATCCAACATGACGCTCCCAATTGACTTTGCCATTATCGTTTGTCCATTTGCGACAGTGACAGGTACTGGACGACGAAGCGGACGCTGATGAGTAATGAAGAGCATCTCGGCAGAGCACATGTGTTGTCCTCAGCAGCTGTCAAGATACCAAGTGTTCGGTCCTGCGATAACCCGAGCAAGGTTAGCATATACTTGGGGTAAAACCATATTTTTAGGTTGCTCGTTAGAATTTTCGTCGTCGTCGTCGAAAATCTGATTCTGTTGCATGAACTGTTGAATACTTGTTTCCTTGATGTGGCAGGAGTTCTTATCGGTGGATTCTGCTTCACGGGTTGCTTGAACTGCTGCGACTGCTGCTGCCCCCCTCGTTTTCTATCAGCTTGACGCTTGTTGCAAAATGTTATACTGTGTCCATTCTTTTTGCAGTAGTGGCAGATATATTTGATGACGCATTTCGTAGGCGTTGTATATAAACTGATGTTGACTGCTCCTTTCTTGTTACGTGTTGATTGCAGGTCAAGATCTTGTTGCTCTGCTTGAAGAATGGAGCAGATTTCTGCTTCCGAAAGATTTTGTTGAAGATGAAAAAGGGATTGATACTGCCGCCATTCTGCTCCAAGATCGGCAAGAAGGACTATTATAAATATGTCCTTTGGGAAGTATCCGCCGCACTTTTCCGATTGGTCACGAAGTGTTCGAGCCCTGTTAACATAATTCGAAACGTTTTCGTTGCCCTGCATCTGTACAGTTGTCAGTTGTGAGAGAATTTTACTCACGGAAATTGTGTCCTGTGTCATATATAGCCCCTTCAAATGCGTCCATGCAAATTCTGCTGGAGTCAAACTGGTGTGAAGAGAGCATATGCCAAGCTGCTCCTTCAGTGACAAATTGCGGATAACGATGGTGTAAGCGCTGAGTGATGCATGAAGAAAACTTCATATGTGTTCCCGTAACAGGATAAGAGTAATCGCCAATGAAGAACGGCCACAATCCCGCGGATTTCGTGAGAAGTTTGAATTCGAAGCTCCGGGCGTAGAATTCAACGCCATTAAAAGGTATGGTTGTCTTGATCTGTGTGTTGCTTAAAAGATTCGGTGCTTGAAAGACAGGACCAGTGAGAGTAGTCTGCTGCTGCTGAGGAAACTGCTGTTGTGGTTGCTGTTGCTATTGTTGTTGCTGAAATTGATGTTGCGCTTGCTGCTGTTGTTGAAGAAATTGAAACTGTTGTTGAGCAGGTGTAAACGCAAACGAAGAACTGGAGCTTGGAGCGGCTGCAGCTCTTGCATAACTTGAACCGTCGATACTCATTCCACTAAAAGCCACTGAAATTGATGCTGCTACTTGTTGCTATTGTGTTGCAGGTGCAGAGGACGAAGTCCCCGGTGGATGCACAGAAGGCAAACCTTGCTACTGTTGCGACATCCCAATTGAAGAATAAGCTGGTGGAAAGTTTCCAGCTGCAGGATTTCCTGCTTGACCAATGTTGATTGTAGGATTTGTAACACCCGTAGGTCCAGTTGTTGAAGAGCCAGATGATGGTACCGTCGATGGTCCAGTCATGATTGTCGATAGTCAAATTGACGAGAGTCTTAATTCCAGACAGCTCTCCTACCATGAAAGAATTTGAAAGGTTGTGTAGGAGACTAAGTATAGAATTTCAACACAAGTACTTGAAGTAGCAAATAATACTGGAAGTACCTACAGTAACAGCCAGTATTAACAAGTTGTAACACCAGAGTCAGTGTTACAGCCTTGCGATACTTCAAGACTTAACCAAGGATCTTTGCTGGAATGGTAGACTTAGTAAGACAGCAGAAGTCTTAGAACTTGTAAAGTGTTGACAGAATTTACTGAAGAACAAGTTAATATTTGGAGTTGTACAAGCTACTTTTATATTTGCTAGAAGTACCTATTCGGTGATGTACTTGTTCGAGCTATTTGTGCTATGCGCTCTAACTGCTACTGAAAAGAGCGTGACTGTTCGCGTGACTGAAACGGCTTGCTGACGTAACCGTCCAGACGAGCGCTATTTGCTGACGCCATTCTATGGATGCTAACTACAGTGTAACTCGACCATATCTATCGAAACTACTTACAGAAATGCTTAAGTACGATTTTACCACAACATCAGTTAGGATTTAGGGCTGTCTGAGAATCAGACGGGGTTTCAAAGTTTGGTCTGACCATCAGACGAAAAATTTCGAGTGAGATTTCATACGAAAAAATTACACTGGTCTTGAAATTCAGACGAATTTTTTGCTCAAGAATCTTCGTTACTCGTAATTTCTACCTCGATTTATTCGTTTCCTGCTAAGAGCGCTTTCTTACGAACCTCTTCCCAGGCTACCCAATTCCCAAATTCGGTCCTCGCCTGAGAGCGTGCTCGAAGGTTTTCTTGTCGAGCTCGCTTCGTTTCAGAATCACATTCTCAACCGCTTTGATTCTGCTCGAGTCATAATCGAACTGTAGAGACCCACGCCTGTCTGGAAAATGTGCGCCTGCGAAGTGTAACACATGCCCTGAACCTCGTCAGTCTAAACCACGCAGAAGAGCGCAAGAGTTATCACGGCACTGAAGCGTGCGAGTCTGGGAATAGGCAGGCCTGTGAAGAGGCGGTAGGAAAACACTCTAATTGGTTGAGGCTTGGATTCTGGCGGGAACACTCGCAGGTGGCGTGATGTGTCACGTGCAGGCAGCCCCCTCTCTTTGCCCAGCAATTTCAGGGTTCCTTCCGCCCCGTCCCCAGTCCAGTCAAGCGACGAATCAGAAAAAACAGGGTGGAGGCAGGGTAGCATGGACTTAGCCGGAAAAACCGGGTTGCGAGGGGTGTGTGGGGGAATGTATCTCGCAGTTAGGGACTTAGCCAAATTTTTTGTTGTTGCGAGGGGTGTGTGGAGGAATATCTCTTGTGTGGGGCACTTCGCCGGAAAAACTAGATGTTCTAGGGGTTTTGGGGGAATGTATCTAGCAGTCGAGGACTTAGCCAAAAAAATCTCGGTTGTGGGGGGGGAGGGGGGAGGGATGGGGGGACGAAGAGGAATGTCTCAGACTCTCAGACGAAAAAATACGCGCTATCTGAATTCTCACACGAAACTCTACACCTTGTCTGAGCTTTCTGACAAAATCTTATGGCTTATCTGGATGATCAGACGAATTAATTTAGCTCGTAAAAAAATCAGATGAAAGGAAAAGAATAGGTCTGACTTTCAGACCATCAGACCGATTTCGTATGATATCTGAGACCCTAGTCCACACGCTATTCTCCCATGGTATCAGAGCTAGGATAGGTCCCACCTACCCATGATTCTGCCCCTAGCTAAGTCACCCAGTGCCACCCCTAGCCGCCCCTGGACGCTCCTAGCTGCTTCATGCCACCCCTTGACGCTCCCTCCCCCCCCCCCCCATAGTTTGTTCGCGGACCCGTCACAAGCCAGCGCCAGCCAGCGCCAGCCAGCCAGCGCCTGTGTGAGGGTGCTACGGTAAATGTCCCTTCACCAAAATCACCTCGCCAATTGTGCTGCAAGGTGCGTGAGGGCGCTGATTGGCCCTTTGCCAAATCTAGGGGTCAAGCGAAATGCGCTGTTGGCTGTGTGAGGTCGTCTTGGTTGGGCCCTTCACCGTATGTGGGGCCAACGTGTGCTTGCAGGGGGAGTGCAAGATTTCCCATCCCCGCCCCTGCTGTGTCGACCTCTCCTGCCAGGTCGATTCCCCCTGCCCCTGCAATCTCGATTCCCCCTGCCCATACAATCTCTCGATACTTCCCCTTTGTTCCACCCCCCATCTCCTGATCTTGCCCCGCACGCCTAGAGAACCCTGCTGCAGAGAGTTACTTCAAAAAACCCTCTGCATTGTCAGTGTAAAATTTTGAGAAATATAAAAAACCCTGGAAAATCAGAGAAACCATTGGGGAGCACTCTGATTTTCAGAATGATGAAAAAAGCCACTCCCTAATTTCAGAGTAGTAAAAATCCAAAAGTAGGCCCTGCTCACCAGTTAGGGCCCTCATGGGAGCAACGGTGTCAGGCACAGTAATGTAAATGGTATCTATGATGTAAATGGTACTTCACTAATACAACTTTATCATCATGAGGTGAGTATGGAAAAATGTTGTTTGCCAATTGCCATGTGGTGTACTTCCCTTGGTGTGAGAGATTTTGGTGTGGGTTTTGGCGGGAAACTGGAATGCGAGCCGCTAAGCTGGAAGTGTCACTGGCAATGTTCCTCGAAGCCACGAATTCCCCGTGTCAGTCTTGGTTGACGTGGCTTTCGTGGCCTCCCCGTCACCAATGGGTGCTCAGCAGAGCCACATCACACGACCCTCGCGAAAGTGCCGTTGGACAGGTTCTCTGGCGTGGTCCCAGGGAGGGAAGTTACTCGTCATAATATGTAGAGCAAGCTACCCTCGCAAAATACCACCCTGGTCTTCGGGAAGATATCCGATTTTCCCTGACAATTCCAACAAGGCTGGTGTCATCAGTTTTCGAGAAATATGGAAATGCCAGTTCCACATTGCGCTCCTGAAAGTGCCGCCTGATGAACTTAAGGTGAAACGAAGTACGCATCTACATGGTACGCAAACGCACGAAGTTTGCATTCTGCTGCCAAATCTGCTTAACAACACGACCGCAAACAAACTTGGAGCCTGTACAATATTGTAGTAACCGTTGAGCATGCCGCCGACAGGGTGAGTAGCCCCGCCACAACCTTTCTCTTTATCCCTCATCTCCCACGCCACCATGTCGCGTCTGAAGTGTACGTTTTTCGCTCAATACCCTACCCAACCGTTTCATTTCCTACTAAATCGACACGCATGTCACCCAACCGCAATCAGACCTATGCTTGGGAGACGCCCAACCTAACCCTACAACAGTCAAGCGAACCCACCACTCTGAAGTAGAACCATTTCTGTCATGCATCCGTTGTTGTTCCCAGCCATTGCAGGACTCTCAAATTTTCTGGCACTTGTGGTGGGCGGGCCGATAGTGATTTCCTTCGTTGTCGCTCGCCTTGGGCTGGATCGCAGTGTTCGCTAGCTGCAGTAATGGTTGCTTTCAAGTCGCCTGTCGCATAATCAGCAGGGTCCCGTAGTCACGTTGTGTAGTCTGTAGAGTTCAAATTTCATTTGCTGATTGATCGACGACATTGTACATTCCCACTTTGGCCATAAATCGAAATTGAGCCTTGTGGCGAATCTGCTCTGCGCATTGGCGCTTCGACGTAAATTAATCGTGGCACAGGGCGGCCATGCTAGCGTTTCGGCGGCTCGCTACGACACGTGGCATCGCGGCAGCAGCCGTGCTTCTGCCGTATCTGAAGGAGGCTTGTCGCGGGCTGATTTTCGAGTCGACTCAACGAAAGTCACATCACGAGTCGACTGAACAGACGTCACCTCCGTATGTGAAGGAGGCGTTTCGCGGGTTCAGGAATGGAAGCGATGCGTTCTGGCAAGACATTGCGAGCCGGTCCAAAGATACAGGTGAGGGACGCCCCCAGTGAATTATTTAACTAGTAGCTACTTGTAGTTACGGAATTGAAGCTTCAAGAAGGAGTCACATTAACGCATCGAAGGATGAGGTCGGGATTCGGGCTTGAATCAGGAATGAAACGATTTGGCGTGATAGGCTTTTGTAACGAGGTCCATCAAAGCAGTAATTGAGAATTGAAGCGGGAGGGCCACTAAGGGGGATTCTGTAAACGAGAACGAGAACAACAAGCCTGTCTGTCCCAGACTCAGTGTAATCCCCGTTAGTGGCCGTGGACTCGCTATCCGTGTGTTGTTCTGCGCTTTTCACTTCGCTAGCCTGGTAATCAAGCATTGTTTTTCTGACAGGGTGTCGCAATGCTTCGCGACTCAAATGTTATTGGCCATAGCTGGGAATAGTGTCAGGTCTGACAAACAAATTCGGTGTCCCTCAAGACGTCTCCCCCATTCCCCCCTCCCCCTCCCCCCCGCCCCCCCCTTATCCCAACCGCCGTCCCCCCCTCTCAACCTCTCACACCCCCCTTCAACCCCTCTCCCCCGCTGGAGTGCGGAAGAGAGCCGCATGGCCGGTGAATTTCCCTGTAAACCATCCCCTTCACCCTCTCCCTGCCGCCCTCCCCTCCCGTCCCCAGGCATTCCGCCCGAGCGTCACTTGGTGGTAATGGTGTCTGGGCCGGACAGGCCGGGACGCGCGTCGACTCTGGCAAAGCGAATTCTGGAGTGGGGGGGGGGGGACGTGGAGGAGAGCCAGCGGCATGGCTGGTGATTTTCCCCCTCCATCCATCCCTCCATTCTCCCCTCCATTCTCCCCTCCATTCTCCCCTCCATTCTCACCTCAACCCTCCCCTCCACCACCCCATCCACCCTCTCCTGCCTTCCCCAGGAATCCCCCCCGAGCGGCACTTGGTGGTGACGGCGTCTGGGCCGGACAGGCTGGGCATCGTGTCGACGCTGGCGAAGCGAATTCTGGAGTGCGGCGGGAACGTGGAGGAGAGCCGCATGGCGCGGCTGGCGGGGGACTTCTCCATCATCATGCTCATCAGAGTGGATGCCACGTGAGTCGAGGCTTGCGAGTGGTTGTTACGACATCTCAATTACCATGCTCGTACAGGTGGATGCCACGTGAGTCGAGTCTTGAGCGCCTGTAAAGACTTCTCCATCACCATGCTCATCAGAGTGGATGCCACGTGAGTGCATGGCTCTTCAATCATTGCCATGTGGGTATGTGGATGCCACATATAGCAATTGCATGCTGCCACCTACACACACACGTTCATTCCAGCGCGTCACTCCCCATCTCGTCTACCCCATCTCTCTCCACCCTCACAGCCCGCCCCGGATAATGGAGGTCCTTCGTCTCACGTTCTCACTCTCTCACCCTCTCACTCTCTCACCCTCTCACTCTCTCATCCACTCACTCTCTCACCCACTCATTCTGTCAACCACTCTCTCACCCACTCACTCTCTCACCCACTTACTCTCTCACCCACTCTCTCTCAACCACTCTCTCAACCACTCTCTCACCCACTCACTCCCTCATCCACTCGCTCCTACTCTTCACTTGCCTGTCCTCGGCCCACACCTACCTCCACCATTCACAGCTCACCCCAGAGCGCGGAGGGCCTTCGCCACAAACCTTGAAGGGCCATACGCCCACTCTCACTCTCTCGCTGTCTCACTCCCACTCTCATTCTCCCGCTCTCACGCACTCCCGACTCGCTCTTTCTCCGGCCTTTAATTCTCCTCTTTTCGTCCCCCCTGGCAACAGCTCGCCCCGGATAGCGGAGGACCTTCGCCTCAAGCTGCTGGAACTGCGAGGGCTGCAGGTGAGAGGGGGTGAGAGGGAGGGGTGCAGGTGAGAGGGAGTGAGAGGGAGGGCTGCAGATGAGAGGAAGGGGAGAGGTGTAGGTGAGGGGTAGGGGTGTAGGTGAGGGGTAGGGGTGCATGTGAGAGGGAGGGGAGGGGTGCATGTGAGAGGGAGGGGAGGGGTGCATGTGAGAGGGAGGGGAGGGGTGCATGTAAGAGGGAAAGGAGGGGTGCATGTGAGAGGGAGGGAAGGGGTGCATGTGAGAGGGATGGGGGAGGGTTGCACGTGAGAGGGAGGGCAGGGGTGCATGTGAGAGGGAGGGGGAAGGGTTGCATGTGAGAGGGAGGGCAGGGGTGCATGTGAGAGGGAGGGGAGGGGTGCATGTGAGAGGGAGGGGGGAGGGGTCCATGTGAGAGGGAGGGCAGGGGTGCATGTGAGAGGGAGGGCAGGGTTGCATGTGAGAGGGAGGGCAGGGGTGCATGTGAGAGGGAGGGCAGGGTTGCATGAGAGAGGGAGGGCAGGGGTGCATGTGAGAGGGAGGGCAGGGGTGCACTCGAGCAGGTGCAGGTGGGAGCATGTGAGAGCTACAGGTCGGACAGGGTGAGAGCAGGGTGGGAGCAGGGTGAGGGGGCTTGTTTGAAGGTTGCAGCAGGTTCTGGCGGCCATTCCGTGATTCATCGCTCCCAAACCCAATAGTCCGATCCCCCCCGTCACTCCGAATGCCAGGTGAGCACGCGGTGGACGGTGGACGACCGCAGTGAGGAGAAGGCACCCAAGAGGAAGTTCAGGCGGCTGGTGCTGAGAGGGGCGGACAACCCGGGGCTGGTGTACAACGTGACGGAGTACCTTTCATCGAAAAATATTAACATCGAGAACTTGGAGACGTTTACTGAAGAGGTGAGGGGGTGAGGGGGCTGGTGGGTGCAATGCTGGTGCTGGGGGGGGGGAGGACAACCTGGGGGTGATCTTCACATTGAGAAGAGTAGCGTTGAGAACCTGGAGACATTCATTCACACAAGAGGTGAGGGATGTGTGCAAGGGGATGGGGGGTGCGTGGCTGGGGCTGCCCATCCGCATGCCGTGGAGGCGCGTTCGCAGAGGGGAACATGGGATGTGTTTAAAGGCTGCTGCTGCGAGGGGACGGTGGAAGCATGGCAGCTGCTGCTGCCCATCCGCCTGCCCTGTCGATCACGTCCCCATGCTTCACCTCGCCACCATGCCTCACCTCGCCACCATGTCCTTGCCTCACCACCATGTCCTCCCCTTACCAAGCGCCCCTCCTGCAGGCTCCCTTCGGCGGCGCCATGCTGTTCCGCATGGAGCGCGTCACTGCCATGCCCCTCCCCCTGCCCATTACCCTGCCATTCCCCCTTCCAGGCTCCATTCAGCGGCACCATGTTATTCCTCATGGAGGGAGGGGGTTATCGGCATGCCCCTCCGCCCGCCCTACCAGCCTTCACCATGCATTGTCCCTCTTCCATGCCCTCTTGCTCATGTGATACTACAATGCAGGCCCCATTCGGAGGCACCATGCTATTCCTCATGGAGGGCGTCATCGCCATGCCCATCCACCTGCCTCTCGGTACCTGATGCCCCCTTGGCGTACCCATGCTCCCCATCACTCCATGCAGGCGCCCTTTGGCGGCACCATGCTATTCCTCATGGAGGGCGTCATCGCCATGCCCATCTGCCTGCCCTCTCCTTCTCCCTCCATGCCTCTCTGTGTCCCTCCATCACCCATTGCAGGCCCCATTTGGCGGCACCATGCTGTTCGTGACGGAGAGTGTCATCGCCATGCCCATCTGCCTCTCCTTCTCCCCGCCACCACCCCCCCCTTCTTTGATGGACAGCGTCATCGCCATGCCCATCCGCTTTCCTGTCTCCTTCCCCGTCCCACCCCCCACCCCCACCCCCCCACCCCCCCTCCTCCTCGCGCTGCAGGCACCCTTTGGCGGCACCATGCTGTTTCTGATGGAGGGCGTCATCGCCATGCCCATCCGCCTGCCAACCCGGCAGCTTGAGCGGCAGTTGGACGCCCTGCAGCAGTCGCTGGGCGTGCAGATTGAGCTGCTGAACTTGGACCCGAAAGATATGGTTGAAGATTGGAGGTGAGACCAGGGGCATGGTAGCGCGTGGGAGGTACCTGTCCCCCCCCAGCAGTCGCTGGGGGTGCAGATCGAGCTGCTGAACTTGGATGCTAAGGATATGGTGGAGGCCTGGAGGTGAGACTGGGGGCGTGGTAGTGCGTACTAGGTATGGTTGTATGGGGTTAGGGATATGGGGTACTGGGTACGGGTATCTTGGACGCACTGCAGCAGTCACTGGGCGTGCAGATCGAGCTGCTCAATTTGGACCCCAAGGATATGGTAGAAGACTGGAGGTGAGACCAGGGGCGTGGGGCGTGGGGCGTGGTAACGGGTATGGGGTGTATGGAGTTTGGGATATGGGGTGCATGGAGTTTGGGATATGGGGTGCATGGAGTTTGGGATATGGGGGTGCATGGAGTTTGGGATATGGGGTGCATGGAGTTTGGGATATGGGGTGCATGGAGTTTGGGATATGGGGTGCATGGAGTTTGGGATATGGGGTGCATGGAGTTTGGGATATGGGGTGCATGGAGTTTGGGATATGGGGTGCATGGAGTTTGGGATATGGGGTGCATGGAGTTTGGGATATGGGGTGCATGGAGTTTGGGATATGGGGTGCATGGAGTTTGGGATATGGGGTGCATGGAGTTTGGGATATGGGGTGCATGGAGTTTGGGATATGGGGTACGGGTGACTTGGACCCCCTGCAGCAGTCGCTGGGGGTGCAGATCGAGCTGCTGAACCTGGACCCCGAGGATATGGTGGAGGACTGGAGGTGAGGCAGCAGTGGCATTGTGTCGTGTATGCGGTATGGATATGAGGCATGGGGTATGGGTTATGGAGTATGGAGTATGGGTAAACTTTATGCACTGCTGCAGCCGGGGGGCGTGCAGATCGAGCTGCTGAACCTGGACCCCACGGATATGGTGGAGGACTGGAGGTGAGCTTGGGAGGAGTGACTTACCAAGCCATGCTATGGAGGTGGACACGGAACGCTTGCAGCTGGATGCACAGCAGTAATTTGGACTCCAAGGAAGGATGTCAGGAGGGAGTGGAGGTGGGGCGGGCTCATGAGAGGAAAGTTTGTGCCTGAGAGTGAGACAAGCTTCTCTGAGAGGTTGGTGTGTCCCTGTAGCAGTCGCTGGGCTTGCAGATAGAGCTGCTAAACGTCGACCCCAAGGACATGGTGGGAGACGAGACGGTAGGGACTGGAGGTGGGAGAAGTGAAAAGAGATGTGAGAGAAGCAGGAAGAGGGACAAGGTAGGGATGGGGCAAGTGTGGCCGCACTACAGCGGTCTTTGCAATGCGGATACAGCTCTCGAGCCTGGGCTGTCGAGGGAGAGGGAGAGGGAGGGAGAGGGAGGGAGGGAGAGGGAGGGAGAGGGAGGGAGAGGGAGGGAGAGGGAGGGAGAGGGAGGGAGAGGGAGGGAGAGGGAGGGAGAGGGAGGGAGAGGGAGGGAGAGGGAGGGAGAGGGAGGGAGAGGGAGGGAGAGGGAGGGAGAGGGAGGGAGAGGGAGGGAGAGGGAGGGAGAGGAGGGAGAGGGAGGGAGAGGGAGGGAGAGGGAGGGAGAGGGAGGGAGAGGGAGGGAGAGGGAGGGAGAGGGAGGGAGAGGGGGAGAGAGAAGACGGTGGCTGGCATATGGCACCACGTGGTAGCAAGTGGCCGCACACAAGGGCCAGGGATATGGCATGCCGAAGCGCAGCCCCCTTTGCTACTGAGCTTGCTCATACGAAGCACCTCCCTCCCTCCCTCCTTCCCTCCCATAAATCTTCAGGATGTGGCAGCAGACCATGTCTCGGAATTGGGGTTTGCCCAAATACAGCTCGCTAGCAGCAGCCAAAGCCCTCCCTTACCAAGCCTGAAGCTGGGAAGCCTCCTTGCAAGAGGTACATACTGCCGTCCTGCAGGGTGTTGGTCATTCAAGGGAAGGTGAAACCACCCGGGCCATGCTGCAGTGCGTTGGTCCATACTGCTCGTCAGCAGGCCAAGGAGCCCCCTTATAACAAACCCAGTAGCAGACCCACTGGCACAAGTACATAGTGCAACGTACCTCTAGTAGCAAAGCTGTGAAAACTGGGAGGACCCCAAGTCCACACCCGGGCAGGGGACTAGTAGACGTGGAATGGCGGGGGGACAACTGTATGCAAGTCACTTTTATAAAGCCTGTGTTTCCTCAGCGTTCAGTGTGGTGCATGTGACGAGCGGTTTTGCATTCATAACTCTGGGTGAATCTGCTTTCATTGCTTTGTATAACCGAAGAGTTATCATGTTACCAACCTGTTAGTGAATAAACTTGTTGCTTGCCATTTCTCCGCAACCAAAGCTGCACATATAGCTACAACACAGATCCTTACATCACTACACACCCTACTGACCACCTAGCCCCCAAACTCGAGGCTTTGCAACAGTGGTCCCCCGCGAAGAGGCCATGGAACTGAGGAAAGCTCTCCAATGGCCTCACCCCACAAGGCAAGGCCCCCATCCCCTCTCCCCCCTCGATGGGCAATTGGCCCCCTGCGGAAGAAGCCATGCAGCAGCAAGACACGGACACTGAAAGCCCTCCTGGGTTCGACACGGGGAGGCGGTACACCCACAATGGTCACAGACAGCCTAGACGACCCTTGGCCCATCCGCCTCTCTCCTCTTTGACTTGTCCGCCTCTTTCTTCCCTAGGTAATCCTTGTCCCTTCCGCCAGTTCCCCCCACTCACTCTGCCTTGTACTCCCCTTGGCTCTCCCCACCATTCTCTCGTCCGCCATTACAGACCCTACCACCACCATTCATTCTCTTCCTCCCTCCCCCGCACCCTGCAACCACCTACCTGCTTCTGCACCTTCGCTCACCCCTCCCTCCCTTCAATCACCTTTGCTTCTCTTTCCCCCTTCACTCTCACCAGCCCCCCCTCCGTCAACCCCACCACCATTCACCTCCCCCTCTCCCCATGCCCCCCGAACCACCCGTTTCCTCAGCTTTCCATCCTCTTCCCCTTCAATCACCTTTTCTTCTGCTTTTCCCTTCACTCTCACCAACCCCCGCTCCGTCAGCCCCACCACCATTTACCTCTGCCTCTCCCCGTGCCCCCGCAACCACCCGTTTCCTCAGCTTCCCATCCTCTTCTTTCCCTTCAATCACCTTCGCTTCTGTGGCCACCATGGGTTTCTCCTCCTCTGCCTTCTCCTTCTTCCGTTTTGCCTCGAGCGCCGCCTTGTGTGGTTTCAGGTAGATGCGATAGAAGGCTGCCGCCAGCACAGCACCCGCGGTGGGAGCAGCCCAGTAGACTATGAAGTGCTGAGCCGACATCTCTTGATCCAACGTGTACACCCACCCGAATGCCTGTGGGAGGAGGAGAGAAGGGAGGAGAGGAACAGGGGCGAGGGGAGCAGGGCAAAAAAACATGGACATTTGAGCAGCGCCAAATCTATGGAGTGCCATGCTGCCTCCATTCTCTGGTTAGCCTCGAGCGCCGCCTTGTGTGGCACGATGCCAGCAGCAATGGCAACGAGTGTCGCCGACGCCATGATGACCTCTCTTGGAGAGATCGTTCTTGGAGAGATCGCTCTTGGGGAGATCGCTCTTGGAGAGGTCGCTCTTGGGGAGATCGCTCTTGGAGAGATCCCTCTTGGGGAGATCGCTCTTGGAGAGATCGCTCTTGGGGCCCAGGAACAGCGTCCACAGCACCACCAGGTTCAGCAGGAAGGTGAGAAAGTGAGTGAGCGTGTGTGTGCTTGAGTGATAGAGAGAAAGACAGAGAAGGGGGGGAGGGGAAAGGGAAGGGGGGGAGAGAGAACCGTGTGCGAGTCTGTGTGTGCGTGCGTGAGTGAGACGGAGAAAGAGAGAGCTTACGAAGAGAGGGTTCATAGAAGGACCCGAGAACCCCATGCCAGCAGCAATGGCGACGATTGTCGCGGACACCGTGATAAAAGCCTTTGAGAGATCGCTCTTGGGCCCCAGGAACAGCGTCCACAGCACCACCAGGTTCAGTAGAAACACGTGTGGGTGTGAGTGAGTAAGTGAGTGAGTGAGAAAGAGAGTGTAGGAGAGCTTACAAAGAGGGAAGATACTCAAAGAAAGGAGGAGCTTACGAAGAGAGGGTTCATAGAAGGACCCGAAAACCCCATGCCAGCAGCAATGGCAACAATTGTCGCGGACACCATGATAAAGGCCTTGGAGAGATCGCTCTTGGGGCCCAGGAACAGCGTCCACAGCACCACCAGGTTCAGCAGAAAGGTCAGGGCGAACTCCGCCGTTGCGCCGGCCAATACCGACACGCCAGGTGGCAGCGCGGGCCCGTTGACCGTGTGCTTGAGGGACTCCGGGATTAGCTCCCACGTCAGCATGGTGCCTATCACCATGCCAAACGCCTAGCAGGGTGAAGAGATGGAAGGAGAGGAGGGAGAGGGTTGGGCAAAGGGGGCATGGGGTGTGGCTCTTGTACGTGAGCATGGTGGCGATCACCATGCCAAATGGGACTCTGGGATGAAATCCCACGAGAGCATGGTGCCGATCACCATGCCGACTGCCGAGGGAGAATTTGGTGGAGGGAGTACACGGGGGCGGGGGGAGGGGGGGGGGGGGAGGTAAAGGGTGAGGGAAAGGGTAGAGCGGGAGGGGGAAGGAGGAACTCTGGAATGAAATCCCACGAGAGCATGGTGCCGATCACCACGCCGAATGCCTGGGGAAGCGGGTGGGAAAGGGATGGGTAGGGGGAACGGGGGGAGGGGGATGCAAGGAGGGGAAGGGCTGTGCCGAAAGAAAGCAAGGAGAAACTCTGGGACGAGCTCTCGATCACCCTGTTGTCTGGCCGAAGAGTTCTGGAAAGTGCGCAGCGGTGATGAGGCTCGGGGGGGGGGGGGGGAGTGGAGTGGAGAGGGTGATGAGGGGCGCGGGGGAGAGGAGGAAGGGAGAGAATACTGTGGGACGATATGGCAGAAGATTGCCGTAGATGAGCTGAGTGCCGAACTCTCAATTCTAGAAGCTACAGCTGTTGAGTGCCGAACTCTCAATTCTAGAAGCTACAGCTGTTGAGTGCCGAACTCTCAATTCTAGAAGCTACAGCTGTTGAGTGCCGAACTCTCAATTCTAGAAGCTACAGCTGTTGAGTGCCGACCTCTCAATTCTAGAAGCTACAGCTGTTGAGTGCCGAACTCTCAATTCTAGAAGCTACAGCTGTTGAGTGCCGAACTCTCAATTCTAGAAGCTACAGCTGTTGAGTGCCAAACTCTCAATTCTAGAAGCTACAGCTGTTGAGTGCCGGACTTTAAATGCTAAGAAGCATCGCAACTGAGTGGGGAAGCGCAACTGAATGGGGAAGCGCAACTGAATGGGGAAGCGCAACTTAGTGGGGAAGCGACGCACCTGAGCGGGAAAGCGCAGGAGCAAACCGAGCGTCGACTCGTCCGCCTCGTCAGCGTGGTAATTGATGAGATTCGCCAGAAGATTGAACCATTCAGCAGACACCCCCATGCCTGCCTGCCAACCGTCTCCTGCCCCTCACCTGAGCGGGAAAGCGCAACAGCAAGCGAAGAGCCGTCTCATCGCCCTCGTCTGCGAGGTAGTTGATGAGATTCGCCAGGCGGTTGAGGATTTAGCGTTTAGCTGCCAACTCGCTGCCCCGTGCCACTCACCTGAGCGTAAAAACAGTGCAGCTCAGCGGGGAAGGAACACGCTTGAGCGGGAAACAGCGCACCTGAGCGGGGAAGCGCAACAGCAAGCCAAGAGCCGTCTCATCGGCCTCGTCTGCGAGGTAGTTGATGAGATTCGCCAGCGGGTTGAACGACGCCCCTCCCAGCGCTGCCGCCGCTCCCCCGAACCCCACAATCTGAAGGATGGCGATTGCCTGGGAAAGACGAAAGAGAGCAGCAGACACGCGACTAAGAAATTAATGGAGGGAAGGAAGCTATCCTCCCAGCGCTGCCGCCACTCCCCCGAACCCCACGATCTGCACGATCGTGGGCGACTTGTGCGGACGAAACAATGCGGCAGATGCGACGAATGCATGCCACTGGTGCGACAACATGCCTCGAAAGCTGGCGAGCTTAATAGCTTTCATAAAGAGGTAAGCAAATCAGGAACTCGTTATCTACCAAGAGGAGAGCGACGGAAGTTTCGTCGTCAGCGGCGACGTAGGGCGCGAGGACTGCCACCGTGGCGCCTGTGCACGACACCCCTATCGCCCACACGATTCTGGTGATTGGGGGAATGTCACACAGATTGCTGGAATTAGACTCGAGAAGGGGGAACTACACCCTGCATGATGCAAAAATGCAGGAGAACCTGGATAGCTGTTTTATTTTCTGGCCATTCAATGCACCACATGAACTCCAGAGAGCGAGTAAAAAACATCTCGCCAAATCGATCGCTTTAGAGCTGCTATTGCGAAATGGCGAGCATTAAGGGTTTTATCATCCAGTCCGTTCTCATGTAATGTTCTCATGTAGTCTTTCGTCGTACGTGAAGAGGAAATCAGTGATGGCCAGCCGAACCACCTTCCCCGCCGACATTGAATTCGCCATCGCAATCCAGCGACTCTGCCGTGGCCTCCGGGAAAAACAATCAACAGACGCAGAGCCTACTCGCTGTCCTTCCTCGCTGGCCTAGATTCCGGGGCCCACGGAAGTGTGAGAGAGCTCCATGAAAAATGAGTTTAGGTGCCCGATGTAAGACAAGTCCAGCTCGTTGGAGCAGAGGCAGTGGATTCATGGCAGGTAATAGCATGTACTGCCTTGAGCCACGGCTAGCAGGGAGGAGGGATATTTAAACTTGAGATCACGAAAGAAACAGACCTCGATCAATGACTCGGAACGCCACCCGAGTCAAAGCTCGCTGCAAAATTCACTTTGTGTTTTTGGAGCTGGCGATAAGAGGAGTGACGTCAATGTAACATCCAGAACCCGAGCGACTTTTGCCAAAATGGTAACTACTGAAGCCGGTAAAGTTCAGTTTCCGATTTTCTTACTTATACACATGCAGGAATTCCTGGTAACCCAGGTCATGACGTGTTGATTTTCTCGATCCGTGCATGTGGGAAAGACACGGTACTGGCTCTCGGTTGACCGTGATGTCAGAAAGTCGAAACGCCAGCGTGTCGTAAGAACCGTACTAAACCGCTGAACAATGGTATCAAACACGTAGAAACTAACTCAACCGTACCAGACTAGCAGAAAGTGGATTCGAAGTTGGGCGAGCCCCAAATTTCCATTCCCACAGCTTGCCACAGGCTGGGTGCGCTTCAGATAGCCTCAGTCATAACGAGGCTGCGTGGAGGTGCGGGAGTCTCTCGAAGACCAGGCGAAATGTTACAAGGTTTGGACGACGTGGGGGGTGTGCTCTCGCACGTGTTTCGCACTCAGTAACCTCCAGCTCACGGAAACACTCGCCCCAGAAACAACAATTTCTCCAAGTCACGAACCTTTGCGGAGGTTCAAGCTAACTCGGAGGAGCTCCATGCCTGCTCCCGCCAGAACGAGCGTGCCAAGCCGGTGTCAGAGCTCGGGCACGAAGCGACCAGAGAGGGGTGTTGTGACCGTTGCTTCGTGTGAGAACCTGAATCGCGAGCCCACCAATCAGGTTCGGGTTAGACTCCCAAGGGAAATGTTGGAATCCCCAACGTTCTCCCCTCCCACTTTCTTCAACACTTGCCTGCTGAAAGCGTCAATTTGCAAGATTGAGGTGTCTGGGAGTGCAAGCTCGTCCCTGCAGTTGGACGACAGACCGAGCGAACGAGCATCAGCTCACAACACACAGATTGGTCATCCAAAGCACTCGGCCCAAGACTGAGATTGGTTGTCCAAAGTAGCGAGGCAGCCTGCAAGGCTGTCACTCAGTTATTTGTAAGCAGACAGGTCATGTATCTTTGAACAGTTTAGGTACTTCCTTCACGCTAAGAAAAGGCAGGTGCTTTTCTCTTCAAGCCCAGCCGCCATGGCGGTGGAACTGGATGCCGACGCGGTGCGGCATGCCAAGGTGAAGATGATATTTCACAAATTCGACCATAATAAGGACGGCGGACTAGACCGCTCGGAAATGGCGGGTCTCGTTATTGCCGTCAACCCCAAGGTTAAGTTTAAGGACGAGCAGATAGAGGCTATCTTAGACGAGGTGTTTAAGACATACGGAGAATATATCACCGAAGGCATCGGTTTGTCTTTTGAAGGTCTTCAGCAGACCTACGACGACGGTGCTGGTGACGTGGACAGGGATTTCGAAGCACTTAATCTCGTCCTGGACATCCCTACCCCGGCTCCGCTCCCCGCTATTCCCGCTGTTCCCGAGCCTCCTGCCGAAGCACCTTCCGAGCCTGAACCACCCGCTCCAATGGAGGAAGACAAGGGAGGCTTTCACTACCTGTCTACGAAGCACATGGTAGAAGCCCTCGAGTCTTTAATCGCGCAGCAGCCGCGCGCGCAGGACAATCCCAACAACGTCCTCAGCAGCCCGGCGTTCACGCGAGCCGTCGCCGATCTTCGCACGCAGTCGGAGAGCCTGTTACCCGTCGCAGCCGTCGTGGAGGCGAACATGGCGATGGGTCGTGCGCTGATGAAGGTCGGTCGCACGGAGGAGGCGAAACCGTCGTTCGTGCGAGTCGTGGAGATCGAGCAGCAGAACGTCCGCGCGTACTTCCTCCTGGGGAATGCGCACTACAGCATGGGGCAGCTGGCGCAGGCGCGGGAGGCGTACAGCCAGAGCCTGGAAGCCGGGAAAGCCGACCCCGAAGCTCACGCGACGATCCTCCCCCAGGTAAGACCTTTGTTTGTTGAGACTACTAGTCTAACGGTGCTAGCGGTGCTTACAGCCAGAGCCTGGAATGCTGGAAAACAATTTTGTGATGTGCTGGTGAGTGTATGTTCTGGCTGGTGAGACCCATCCTTTCCTCACTTATAGAATTTCTCCTGGGATTTCGCCTGGTGTATGTGCTGCTATTTCATTGTATCTGTCCCCGATACAGGTGCACACACATTTCGGTTGCGATATGGAGGTGGAGGCCCTCATTGTCTGTCCCTGGCTTGTCTTTCGTGCCTGCCATCTTCTTCATCCCCGATACAGGTGCACGTGAATCTCGGTATAGCGATGGAGGCGGAGGGCCTGCTGATGAACGCGTGCGACCACTACCGCGAGGCGGGCATGCTGAACCCGCACCACCACCACGCCATGAAGCTGCTCGGCAGCGCGCTCTACGGACTCGGCGAGTACCGCGAGGCGGAGGAGGCGCTACAGAACGCGCTTTACCTCGACCCCAAGTGAGTGAAAGCTAGGGTTTACCTGCGAGTGGTAAGCGGCAGGTGGGGCTTGATAGAGTTTGCGCTCTACGGGCTCGGCGAGTACCGCGAGGCGGGAGAGGCGCTGCGAAAGGCGCTTTATTTGGATCCTAATTGAGTGGAAGCTGGTATAGCCTGGATGTGGTGTATGAAATGCGAGACTCGAATCTCTACACGAGCTCGGGCGAGCACCGCGAGGCGGAAGAGGCAGAACGCGCTATACCTGGATTATAAAAACGGAGGTGTTAGTGTACTTAAGTGCGCGGCAGTTTATGATGCAGAACGATATTATAAAGAATATCCTATTGTCACCTGGATGGTTACGCTTCGTGCCCTCATTCTCTCTCCTTCCCCTCCTTGCTCCTACCCTTTCGCTGCCCTCCCCGCTTCTCAGGTACGCCGACGCACACTGCGACCTCGGCTCGACTCTCCACGCGCTGGGCGACGACGTGAGGGCGGGCCAGGCGTTTGAGCGCGCCCTCAGCCTGGCGCCGGACCACGTGGACGCGCTCTACAACTACGCGGGGCTCTTGAGAGACACGGGGCAGTTCGACGCCGCCGTGGATACGTACTCCAAAGTGCTCGAGCTTAGCCCCGGGCACTGGCAGGCGCAGCTCAACCGCGCGGTGTCGCTACTGGGTGGCGGAAAGGGGGAGGCGGCGCAGCGGGAGCTGGAAACGGCGTATAAGCTGACGAACAGGGTGGAGCTGTACGACGCTGTAAAGCAACTGAAGCGACTCTATAAGGAGAATAAGAAGATGAGCTCGGCGCTGGCGAAGCTGCCGGATAGGGGCGGGGAGGGCGTGGAGGGGGGTGCGGTGGATGGGAGTTTTGTGGTGTTGGATCCGGCGAGAATGAAGGGGAGCGGCCCCACGGTGTGCAATCCGACGGAGCTGGCCGTTGCTTTGGACGTCCGTGCTTACCAGGTGAGAAAGGGTTTAAACTAGTGGTTACCAGTATAGGATATTTCAGGCATAAGGGTGAAAATGCATCCAGCGAGAATGAAGGGCACCGGTCCCACGGTGTACAATCCGACGGAGCTCGCCGTTGCTCTGGACGCCTGTGCTTACCGGGTGAGAAAGGGTTACCTGATGGTTACTGGACAAGGCTGGAAGGGCCTACTGTGGTGCTGGACGGTATGCAGTCCGACGGAGCTACCTGTGGCTCTGGACGTCCGTGCGTACCAGGTTAGAAAGGGTTACCTGGTGGTTACTGGACTCCTTCCCCTTAACCTAACCGTGAAGACGATTCTTGTGCCCAACTCTTTCCCTTTACCCGCCCCCTCCCTCCCCCCCCTCTCCCCCCACTCCCCCTCTCCCTCCCCCAGCGCCACACGCGCCTATCAAAGGTCCCTGTGACTGCCCTCCGTGCTGAACTGTCCGAGACCAACTTTGAGACGGCCCCGCGCGAGCGCATGGTGCGCAAGGCCGCCATCGAGCTGCTGCTGCGCCAACTGCTCCCAGAGGCCCTCCCCCCAGAAACCTTCCAGCAAGCCGTGCGCGCCCTCAACGAGAAGGTCATCTCAGCCGTCGAAACCGGCGGCGGCGCAGCCGCGGCAGCCGTTGATCTGGGCCTGTTCCTCGCGATCGTGGCGCTGCTGTGCGATGGGGCGGTGCCGGAGAGGAAGCTAGTGGCGTTTGAGGCACTGCAGTGGCGGCGGGGGCGGCCGGAGGGGACGAGGGGGAAGATCATGCGGCGGGATGCAGTGGGGTTTGTGCAGCTGGTGCGGGAGATTTATCTGCCCGGGCAGCCGCCGATGCCTGACGAGGAGAAGAGTGGGGAGGAGGGCGTGCCGGACGTGGGGCTGGAGCAGTTTGAAACACTCGTTGATGATGTGAGCTCGCTGGGGTTTGTCCACGGATGTGTGCTTGTATGTGGGGAGGAGGTCGTGCACGGATGTCTACTTGTATGCTTGTATGATCATGTTGATGTATGTCATGGTCTTGCTGTGGGGAGGAGGGCGTGCTGGAGGAGACGTGTGGGGAGGAGGGCGTGCTGGATGTGGGGCTGGAGCAGTTTGAAATGCTCGTGGATGACGCGAGTTTTTCAGTGTGCATGTGCGCATGTGTTTTGTGTGCGTAAGTTCCCAGGTACACTGTTATTGAATTGTGCTACTCACTCCCGCCATATTTTCAACTCAGTTCATGCTTCCCTCCCGGGTCTCCTCTCTCCCCCCCTCCTTCCTCTTTCCCCCCTCCCGCATCCTGCAGTATTTCCCCATTCTCTACACTCTGCGCAAGCTGGAGGTTTACGATCGTACCCGACACCTGGGCATGTCGTGCGACGTGTGCCGTTACGCCATTGTTGGCCTGCGTTACCGAGAGACCAAGTCGCGGTTCGATGTCTGTGCCACATGCTACAGCGAGAGAAAGGCCCCCGCCAAGCACGCGGGCGGCGGCTCCTCTTTCATTGGAGGGTCGTCTCGTAACCGTGTGCTCACGTTTGCCGAGTATGTGACCGGGACGGACAAGGTGAGGGAGAAGTTTGGGCTGTATGGAAGGACGCTAGCCAAGACACCGACAACAAGAGGGGGGGCAACGGCAGGAGGAGGAGGAGCAGCAGCAGCAGCACCAGAAAGTGGGGGAGGTCAGGCTGAGACAGTAGCAGATGAAGAGGCTTGAGTGTGGATGAAGGGGCTTTATTTTTAGGCACAGATTCTTTCAGTTGGTCAATGTGTGATATGTGCAGTCCATATACGTGCAGGGAAATACTAGGAGATGGACAAATCACTAGAGTATAGACCCGAGAGTCCATATTGTGATGTAGGCTAATGTAGGAGGTGTCATACTTCCGTTGTACTTGAAAGTTCTAGGTTAGGGTTGTGATTTTCCGAATTTGATAACAGGTGGTGACTTGATTTCTTAGCTGGTAAGATAGAGTATCTATTGAGGCGATGTAACATAAACAGCCCCACAGCCAGCACGCCGTTTGCCAGCAGCGTAAATCTCGGCGGCAGTGAGTCAGCGTCGGCAATTCCTGGGGGGGTTGGAAAATGATGACGCACAGAAAAATTATCGGTGGAGATATAAAATGGCGAGGACGTGACAAATGCTGCCCGCTTCGCAAAAACATTTGCGAACCTCGACAGTTCCAAATTGGACCATGCTGAAATTCACTTGTACCTCACCAAATCACTTCTAGCCCGTTCTGCTTATCGAAACCGCACAAACCGGTGCGGCGGCGGCGAACATGTTTTGCGAATCGCAAGGTGGATTCGGGATTTCTGCCCAGAACCGGAACTTTGGTTTGGTGCGTTGGCCGACGTACTCAAGGCGTGGATGTCAGAAACCCAGTCACTAACCACTGGGTTAAAAGGGCTTGTTGAATAGCGGGTAAGTGCGCCCATAGCCCCCCAGGCTCTGCACCTGTGGCCCTTCTCCGAGGATCTCAAGGGCAACCCCAGCGGGTCACTCAACACCCCCCCCCCCGCTGGGATAGGTGGAAGACACGAGCGCCTCTGCGGCGCTGGCACTGGGAGTTGAACCCAAGACCTTTGGCTCTGATACCATGTCAGAAACCCAGTCACTAACCACTGGGTTAAAAGGGCTTGTTGAATAGCGGGTAAGTGCGCCCATAGCCCCCCAGGCTCTGCACCTGTGGCCCTTCTCCGAGGATCTCAAGGGCAACCCCAGCGGGTCACTCAACAGTGGAGCCTAGGGTTGTGCAACCTGACTGAGTTGCGCAATCCGGTCTGGTTACGTTTCTTCGCTGTTGGGCTGAGAAAAGCCCTAGGGCCTTTTCAGAGACTAAGTCCCACTTGTCAAAACGCTTGAGTAGTGCAGCGGAAGTGTTGAGTTGAACCCTTGCACTAGTATGTGAGAGCAAGTGATTGATTAAAAGAAACAAGCATACAGCGATATATAGAAAGCAAGAAATGAAGCGGTTGTAGAATACTGTTGAAGAAACAGTTATCGAGTCGCACAGCGACTCGATTGTCGGTTCGGTTACCACCCTTGCAGTCGCAACGGTCAATCGCAACCTCCGGTTGCGACCCTTCGTGTCCCGTCGCCCTTTCGTATTCTTTCGTCCAACCTCCTCGTGTACCCGATACGACTTTCCTCGAGTGTAGTGTTACACTTCAGAAACGCTTAAGTCTTCGAGGTATTTCCAACACTCCCCTTCGTTTCTAGAGTGCTGACGTGTCCGGATTCGGTGACGTTCTGCCTGGTCAGCAGCATGCAGTAATCGAACTTAACCTTTGCCACTTTCTTCGTCATGTAATCAGCAGCCATTTCTGTCGTGGGCAAGTAACTAAGTTGAAGTCTCCCTTTCGCGATCTCATCTTTGACGAAGAAATACCGCAGGGCGATGTGCTTGGTGTCAAACATGTGTATTTGTCATGTTTGTATAGACTGTATAGAGTCACCTCTTAGAGGATACAAAACTTAGATATATTTGTGTGTACTCTCACTTTACCATTATTCAATTATTCTGATATGGTATCACGCGTAGGTAGGATCCCCCCCCCCCACCTACCGCTTCCGCTCATGCCCCCTAGCGCCCCTCCTGGGCCCCGTCGCGCTCCTCCCAGGCCCCGTCGCGCTCCTCCCAGGCCCCCTAGCGCCCCTCCTGGGCCCCATCGCGCTCCTCCCAGGCCCCGTAGCGCCCCTCCTGGGCTTCGTAGCGCCCCTGCCAGGCCCCGTCGCGCCCCTCCTGGGCTTCGTAGCGCCCCTGCCAGGCCCCGTCGCGCCCCTCCCAGGCCCCGTCGCGCTCCTCCCAGGCCCACTAGCGCCCCTCCTGGGCCCCGTCGCGCTCCTCCCAGGTCCCGTAGCGCCCCGTCGCGCCCCTCCTGGGCCCCGTAGCGCCCCTCCTGGGCCTCGTCGCGCCCCTCCTGGGCTTCGTAGCGCCCCTCCTGGGCCCTGTACCGCCCTCCCAGGCCCCGTCGCGCCCCTCCCAGGCCCCGTCGCGCCCCTCCCAGTCCCTCTAGCGCCCCTCCTGGGCCCCGTCGCGCTCCTCCCAGGCCCCGTAGCGCCCCGTCGCGCCCCTCCTGGGCCCCGTAGCGCCCCTCCTGGGCCTCGTCGCGCCCCCTCCTGGGCTTCGTAGCGCCCCTCCTGGGCCCTGTAACGCCCTCCCAGGCCCCGTCGCGCCCCTCCCAGGCCCCGTCGCGCTCCTCCCAGGCCCCCTAGCGCCCCTCCTGGGCCCCGTCGCGCTCCTCCCAGGCCTCGTAGCGCCCCTCCTGGGCTCTTTCGCGCCCCTCCTGGGCTCCGTAGCGCCCCTCCTGGGCCCCGTCGCGCCCCTCCTGGGCCCCGTAGCGCCCCTCCTGGGCCCCGTCGCGCCCTCCTTGGGCCCTGTAGCGCCCCTCCTGGGCCCCGTCGCGCCCCTCCCAGGCCCCGTCGCGCCCCTCCCAGGCCCCGTAGCGCCCCTCCTGGGCCTCGTCGCGCCCCTCCTGGGCTTCGTAGCGCCTCTCCTGGGCCCCCCGTCGTGCCCCTCCTGGGCCCCGGAACGCCCCTCGGCCGCGTCGTACCCGTCGCCGCCGCCCGGCCCCGTCGTGCCCGCCCGGCGCCGTCGCGCCCGCCCGACCCCGTCGCCGCCGCCCGGCCCCGTCGCGCCCGCCCGGCGCCGTCGCCGCCGCCCGGCCCCATCGCGCTCGCCCGGCGCCGTCGCACCCTGCCCGGCCCGTCGCGCTCGCCCGGCCCCGTCGCAGCCGCCCGGCCCCGTCGCACCCGCCCGGCCCCGTCGCACCCTGCCCGGCCCCGTCACAGCCGCCCGGCCCCGTCGCACCAGCCCGGCCGCCGTCCCGCTCGCCCGGCCCCGTCGCACCGGCCCGGCCCTGCCGCACTCGCCCGGCCCCGTCGCCCCAGCCCGGCCCCGTCGCGCCCGCTCGGCCCCGTCGCCCCGTCCCGGCCCTGTCGCATCAGCCCGGCCCCGTCGCGCCCGCCCGGCCCCGTCGGGCCTGCCACGGCCCCGTCCTCCTCACAAGTACGGTCCCCCCCCCCCCCCCCCCCCCCCCCCCCCCCCCCCACCCCGCCCTGCTCCGTGCCGCCCTGCACCGCACTGCACCGCACTGTACCGCACTGCACCGCACTGCACCGCACTGCACTGCACTGTACCGCACAGTACCGCACTGCACCGCACTGCACCGCACTGTATCGCACTGCACCGCACCCCACCTAGCTGCACCGCCCTGCACAGCACTGGACTGTTCCTGATGGCGGCGGAGCTTCGCTTCGACGCTGAAGGTCAGCCCCTAGAGTTCGAGGCGTGGCTTGCCGACCTCCGCCGCCAACTCACTGGCCAGCGCCAGGATGGTGAACCGCTTTCCGCACACCTTGACGGTACGCTCCCCTGCCCAGACCCTCCTGCTATTCTGCCCGCTGACCCCACACCCACTGAGCGTGAGTCTACTGCTGCCACTGCCCGTGCGCGCTCTGTCTGGCTTTCTCGCGATGCTGTCGCCCAGCTTGCCATTAGCAACGCCCTCCCCCCGTCCGAGCGTCCTCGCTTCAGGTCCCTCACTACTGCTCAGGCATACTTAGATGCTGTCATCAAGCGCTATTCCACCCCTCCGGCTGCCTCGGTGGGTCGCCTGATCCTCCCGCTGCTCTTTCCTGACCTTGCTTCGTTCCCCACTGTCTCTGACCTCGCTGCCCACCTGCGCTCGATAGAGGAGACCTGGCGCACCGCATGCACTGACGCACAGCTTAGAGCCCACCAGCCGCCCATTACCTCTACCCTCTACCTGCTTGCCACCCGCCTCCCTGACCGCCTTGCTGTCGCCCGCGACCGCTTCCTTAGTGTTCACCCCGCAGACCTCACCCTCACTGACTTTGTCGACACCCTGACTGTGATAGAGACCCGTCACCGCTCCATCGCCCAGGCGAACGGTGTCGTGCCGGTCCCTATCTTTCAGGGTTGTGCCCCCGCTCAGTGTACCTTCTCCGACGGCTCTGCCGCAGTGGCTGAGACTGCTGCTGCAGCGCAGGCCCGTTCTGGGAAGGGCCGCCGCCCCAAGGCTGGGCGCGGCGGAGGGGGCGGCGGGGGTGCGGGCGGGGGTAGTGGTGGGGTCGGGTCGCCTGGTGCTGGAGCGGACGAGGGGACCCTGCCCAGTCCAGCTGAGTCGCCGCCCCTGCAGTTGCAGCAGCCGCAGCAGCCGCCGCAGTCGCAGCCTTCGCAGCAGCCGCAGCAGCCGTCGCAGACGCGGCAGACGAGTGTTCTCCCGCCAGGGTGGCCCGGCGCTGGCGGTGGACGGGCGCGTGGTGGTGTGCCGCGTGGTGGCTCTGCCGGCGGGCGTTGTCAGTACCAGATCCAGACCGGTCCTCGCCGCGGTTTCGTTTGCGGTAAGATCGGTCACTCCACTCCCCGCTGCTTTCGTCGCCTGGACGACCTCTTTCGTCAGCGTTTCGGCCCGTCGCCAGACCTCCCGGACTGGCACAGTTTGCTTAGTCGTCAGATTCAGATCTTTGATATGGACATGGATGCCATTGTTTCTGCTCTGCATGTGATGTATGCTGATGACTCTAGTGTGCTTCCGACTTATTACTCACTGTTGCCTAGTGTAGGTGTGCCTAGCTTAGCCTCCCCTGCTGCGTCAGGCGTAGGATCCCCTGCTTTGTGTAGTCTTGGTGCTTCTGCCGTCGTTCCGTCGCCAGACCCCTCGGCTTCGCTTTCCTTCACCTTGGACTCTGGCGCCTCTCGGTGTTTCTTCCGCGACTCCACCACCCTGACGCCGCTTCCTGTTCCTGCTGCCGTTTCTCTTGCTGACCCCTCCTACCGCCCTACCGCCGCGCCGCTGCAGACCCTGCACCTGGACGTTTGGGGCCCCGCCCCCGTCCCTGGGCCGCGTCGCGAGCGCTACTTCCTTGTGCTTGTCGACGACTTCACTCGTTACACCACAGTCTTTCCCCTGGAGCGCAAGGCCGACGTGCCTGGCGCCCTCATCCCCTG